AGGAAAAGGAAAATTTCTATAGAAAAAAAAGCAAGAGAATTGAGAGACCATTTTTTGTGTGTGGAAATGTATTACCTCTTTTGAATAGTGAGAGAATTTTCCAGCGACCAATACAAATTTACCAGACTTGGGAAGGACTTTTGCAACTCCATTATGTTTAAACCAACAGTAGTTTAAACATGTTAAACAGTTAGAAAGTGTTTTTCTAGCTAATTGGTTGGGTCTTTCTTTCTCTCCTGTCCTCTCCTCTCCTCTCCTCTGCTTTCCTCTCCTTCCTTCCTTCCTTCCTTCCTTCCTTCCTTCCTTCCTTCCTCCCTCCCTCCCTCCCTCCCTCCCTCCCTTCCCATCAAGTCAGTGTCAACACAAAGTGACCACATGTTTTTTCCAGGAATAAATATATATAAAAAATAAAAAATAAAGCAAGATTTAGTGTTACTAGATTTTTGCCAATATAATGTGTGTGTGATAACATGGAAAGGGTCCAATAGGACTTACACAACCTCTATTTTGTCTGGTTTTTTTAAATTACTTTTAATATTTAAAATCCATCAAAACAATGCCCAACTGAATTCAAATAGAACTTAAACAACATAAGAACCAATAATAAAAGTATGCCCAAACTTTAAAAACAAAAGCAACAACACTCACTGAAGTATCTTTAAAGACCAGGTTTAGCCACTCCTAAAAGCCAAGAGAAAGTGAAGCAACTATTAACATGAAAGGGAATGCAATTCTTCAGTTTTGGAGTGGCATTCAGAAACCAAAACTGATTCTTTTCTTATGCCCAATAACTGGACTTTCTAAGAGGTGCTGCTCTTCAAAGGGGTTTTCATCTTTGAAGAAAAGGGAAAGTCTTCTTCAGCTTGATAGAGATGCCAAGCAACTGCATGGAGAAATTAATTCAGTTTTCTTAGCAAGAGGAAGAAGTTTGTTATTGCCTTTTTATAGGATATTTTTACTTCCCAATTTAGCCTCCAGTTCTGGTATTGCATGAAAGAATCCTGTCCAAGTACTAACCAGTCCAGATCCTGATTAGTTTCCAGGCCCAGCAAAGTATTGTTACCTGGACTTAATTCTCCAGTCAAACTCTCCAATTCACAATCTTTTTCAGGATGAGTGGCAAATTGGTGAACAGCCTTCAAACTGGGGATTGAACTAGGACAAAGAGGGCAGCTCTAGATCAATGTGCTTAAATTTACATTAAAACAAATAAAAGGGGAAAAAACTAAACAGTAAGTCCTTATTATCATTTTTTTTTTAGTCACTTTATTTGTATGCCGCCCTTTTCCCTGGGGGGACTCAGGGCGGCTCACAGTTCAAAAGGGGGGGGGGAGGACAAACAATTTACAACATAAAAGCACTACATCATTTAAGAACTCAACAGTCATACAATTCGAGTAGGGGTTAGAGTCTTTAACCCCAGGCCAGCCGGGATAGCCAGATTTTAAGTGCGGCGCAGAAGGTCTGGAGGGTGGTCATCATGCCCTATAGATAGGAATATCTATAGGAACATAGTCAAATAAGTCATACTGGGAGCTTCAATGGTGCAATTGAAGCTTTGTTCATTTTTGAGTCAGCCACATTAAAAGTGGAATATTTGAGCATGTCTTAAACTGGAAAATATCAGAGCCAGTATAATACAGTACCTTCAGAGCTCAATCTGCCAAGCATCCATCCATCCAAAGCTGGAAAAAGATCTGTTTGAAGTAACAAAGCCACTCTTCCTCCACCTCCTTTGGATCCCAGTATCCCACCTCCTCCCAGTATCCCACCTCCTTTAGGTCCCAGTAAAAAAGCAGACTCCTGGTTGAAAGACTGCTCGGAGTCTTTCAGTATCGTCCAAAGATTCAGCGTGCAATTCAACCATGTGGTTTATCAGCCTTTCCCATCTTACTTCCTCCATGTGTGTGGGTTAAGGATTATGGGAGTTGGATCTATCTGGAAGGCACCAAGGTAGACTATTCTTGGTATATTGGTATGCCAATACAAATAATATATTGGAGGACAGAAATTGTAAATGTGGCTATTAGCAGAGCATTCTGGAAGACTGTGCTTCGAAGGAAGAACAACTTGCTCAGAAGTTCCAAGAAGCCAGTTTACTACCTAGAAAAAGAACAGCTGCATGAAAGTTATTTTCCTCATCCTTGCCAGAAATAACATTTGGCTCCAACTGCTGGTTGCCCAGGAATTGTAGGCATGAGGGAAGATAAGATGAATAAGGGCTATTCGGTCATTTATAGTATCCTGGTCCAAACCAGGCCGCTTATAAGAGAAATCCAGACACTGATAGCAGAGGATCTGGAAGAAGCATTGGCAACCATTTTTCTTATGGAGAAGCACAAGAAATAGAGGCCTCTAAAGATGAGGAAGACCCAAGTGGTGGCCAACAGCATTTCAGAAGATCTGGAAGTCTTAGCCACTCAAAGCAGATATTAGTGGCAGAGCAGGAAGACCCAGGAAGAGAATAGCTTTACATTCAGAAGGCTGAGAAGTTCTCTGAACCCAAAGCTCTGAGAACTAAACACTGGTAGAAAAGAAGCATCCAGAAAGAAGCCCAACACGTGGTCAGTAATGAAGCAGCCTAAGTCCTCCATCAAGGAAGCATCAGTTAATACAACTAAAAGAACCACTGGGAGTAGGTGATGAATTAAAGTCTGGCTAAAAGCAGTTTCCAACACCCTCCTTTCCAACACAATCCAGTAAGCCACACAAGAGAATGTTAGTTAACATGGCTATGGAGGACCAGGCAGAGGCCAAAAGTCCTAGTGGGGCCAGAGTTCAAGTTAAAAGGCAAAGTTAAAGAACAGAAACAAAGAGTACTGTAGAATATAGAATGTAAACATGTTAATAAAATAGTGTACAAGGTAATAGATATGAGAAAATAAAGCAGAAAACTGCTTGTATGAAAAAAGAAGCAAATTTCTTAACATTGTAAAAAAAAAACCTATATAATACAAATCTCATTTAGTGAGAATTGTGGGTCTCTTTGACTAGTACCACCTCACAAAGTAAGTGACCCTTTGAAATATATAATGGATTTAATTAGAAGGGATGATTTCCCCTGTATTTGTTATAGCATCTTATTTGTAAAAGCAAAAGCAGAATGAATTGATGATTGAATCTGTGGGACTGGTTTTACCATAAGCCACAGTATAAAGTTATGACTTATTTCTAATTTGCTTTTAAAAAATAAACTATGAGTTCAAGATATGATGTGCAACTGCAAGTGAAGAGAGTGAAATTGCAAAAGCAATTGTAATTTTTTGCAGCTGTGGTTTCACGATAACTCATTCATAATATGAAAATGAATTTGCCAATTATAGTTGAAAAAGACAAGAATTTTGAAGTCAGTAAAGTTGCTTTGATTGGGGTAAATACATTTGGTATTGTCAACAAAATAGTCTCACTATATTGCTAAATTTTCAACATTCTAGGGATATTTGCACTTCTTCTCAGAATTAAACATATATTTTATATCTGTGTTCACATCCAGTCCTATTTGATTTTAATATTTTACATTTGGCAGTAGTGGATAGTTGACAACACCAATGCTGTTCCCCTAATTCATAAGATCTCACACACAAGCTTATTAAAGAGTTCAGAAGCGTGTATCAATATGATTCAGGAAAACCAAACTCTAAATACCATTCTTAAAACAGATGTTGGTAATATTTACACTGCGTGTTACCAGCCCAAGAAATGTTTTTTTCATACTCAAGCAATCCTCAAACTGACAGGAGTTACTCTTAAGCTATGCCTTGCTTAAACTGAATAAACCACATAACACAAGCATTTACAGTGACTTGAAACAAAATCCATCACATTATGGCTTAAAGTCCGAGTGGATTAATTAAAATCTAGATTCCTGTTGACTGCTCATACTATTTAAATTATTTCTAGAGAATAGAAACTCTATGGTTATGACATTACAAATAAAAAATTGCATTACGTATAAAAAATAGGGCCTCTAGCAAGTGGTCATTTCAGGAATGAGTAGTTTTTGACTGAGTTTGCAATCCTTAGAAAACACGAACTTGGTCATTCTGCATTTGATTACAACTTGGCATATTGTGTGAATTCAGTCATTATAGTTGATGTTTCATGGTTTACCACAACACATGATTCTATGCACAGAATTATTGAATAAACATGCCTTAGCATGATGTATGAACTACTTGCAGGTCTTGCCAAATAATTATCTGCAATGAAAATGTCAGAATATGCACAATAGCAGCACATCCAGTTCTTTCCAAACTCTATTTTGATCATGAAATTCTTGGTGACTTATATGACCAAACAGAATTAAAAATTACTTGTCAATATTATACTGGGATATCTAGCCAAAGACAAATAACTCCAACCATTTTATAAATAAGGATATTTATTTAGAATAGTGTTGAAAACATTCTCAGCATCCATATTGTATAAATATATAAAGTTAAAGTTTGGCACAACAAACCAAGCAACATTTAAATACATAGACATTTTTATTGTTCTTTCCATGGAAACTTTTTTTTTTGCAAAGTATACAAAATAATTGCTCTTGTTCTTTTTTTTTTTTTAAAAAAGTGGTCCACAACCTTTTCTGCATATATGTGGATGTGATTATGGTGTGGGGGTTTAGATGGGGGGAATTGCAAAGAAAGGCAGCAATTCTGATTGCATCTGGCTGCTTAAAGTATACAGATAATAATGGGAATTGAGCAGCCTATTCAGGACTGTAGGGATCCCCGTCCATTGACCTTTCCACGGTAAAAACATTGGCCATTTCATGGTGCACAATTCTAAAAGACCTCTATATACAAATTAAATAGCTTTTGTTTATAACCAATAAATAAGTGCATTCTTGGAGTAATACAAGCATGGAAAAAAAGGAATTATTAGATAGATTTGAAAGCGAGTAAAAAAAAATAGCCGTAAGTATCGTTCATTCTCAGTCTTGGAAATGCAGGTTTAAGTATGATTGCTGGTTAAAAGAGAGCATTTGTCATATTTGCACTTCATAGCACTTGGTAAATAGGGTTGCTGGCATTGTTGTTGGCAGAGTCCTGTGGAATCTGAGTACAGCTGGCTGGGGAGCTGGTTTGGACTCCGGTATCACCCAGGCTGGGCCCTTCGTGGAGTGAGCAAGGGCTGCCTTCAATCCCACTTTCAGCTGTGGGTAAAGCAGGACAGGCTGTGCTCTCTGTTGAAATCCGTTCCACAATGCTGGATAAGCAATCTAGGCTGGAAACGACTGCATTCTTCCCTTGCTTTGAATCTAAAGACAGGGAGATCTGTCAATCTCAGGACAATACCAAGAAGCTATTTTTTTGCAGGAGTCCTCACACACACACTCACACTCTCTCTCTCATACACACACGAAATACATATATTTTATATCATATATTGCTATTCAGCAGTCAAGGGAATGATTTCAGCTAAATGTCTACTCAATTCCCCTCTAGTTGCAAATTCAATGGACATTACAGTAATGGCACATAAGCTGGGAATAAGTGAAGCTGAGAACACAAAAAGGGACTGTTTTAAAATGTATGCATTTATTTATTAAATTTATATACTGCCCATCTCACTATTCAAATCTAAAATTATTATTACCAATGCAACTGCTCACTTTGATCACCAATGAAAATTAAATGCATGCAACTTAATAACAGTAACAGTATATTTGATAAAATGTATATGCTTTCAGGTACATGTATATGAATAAAAAAAGTACCCAAAGTATTATATATCTCAATTGAGAAGAATCTTTTTTAAAAGGCAAATACTCACCACTGAGTGATTCTGAATAGTAGCTGCTGTCATAACTACTCCTTCTGCGAGAACTGCAAGGAGGACCACTGTATTCCATCTGAAACAAAACCCAACAATACAAGGCATTCAATCTTTTGTCTGGCATTAACAATAGCACTTAGACTTATATACCACTTCATAATGCTTTCTAAGCAGTTTAGAGTCAGGATATTGCTCCCAACAATCTGGCTCCTCATTTTACCGAAGTGAGTGGAAGGCTGAGTCAGGATTGAACTCCTGGTTGTAGGCAGAGTTTGCCTGAAATACTGCATTCTAACCACTGGACCACCATGGCTCTTAGAACAGGAAGAACTGTTTTTTTACTCTTAATTGAATTCCAAATATTCATCAAAGTAGGAAACAAAATTAAATTACAAGAGAATTGTTAGTTGCATAGCAGCCAAGGATTATACATGACTCATTTGTCTTTCCTTGTCAAGTGATCTCTTCGGCAAGTCATAGACTCCCATAATTCCTGTGCTTCGATTAAATCCTCCTCTTGGACGATTTTAGACTGTGAGGTTTCAGAGCAATTGAGAGTTATGTTAACAGTAACCCTCTCTGTCACACCCCAACAATGGAATAAAATCAGCTCAATGAAAGATTAAGTATCAAGAAAATCCATGTCCTGCCCAAGATGAAGTTCACTAAATCACACAGAAACACTAATTCTTTTTCAATCTAGCCTACCTCATGGGCTCCTTATTGTGGGGATAGGATTTAGGGGGAAAAGACTCTCTTATATGTTACCATGATGTTCCCCCTTTCAGGGGAAAAATATCTCATGAACAAGATATTTTTTTTTTTTTAGGAAAGGGAAAGAAGGTTGGTAGAAAAGTCTGTGATATTACAAATTGGATTCTACTGCAGCACGCTAATCTTCGTTTCTTTTCTAAATTGCTATTAGATATATTAAAGCACTTTATTATTGCAAAAAATCTTCAATAAGCTACTTAGATCACAACTGTGTTATAAATATTTGCCTAGTAAAGTTTTTTTCCTAAATCACAGAACTCCATGCACATTTATTAGAGAGTAAGTTCCAAAGAAGGCAGGATGGTCCTTAGAAAATAATGATAGAATAAAGTATCCATTGGCAAATAATGCTTTTTTACAGAAAGGCTTTGAGCCAGCAGTTTTTAATGAGCATCTTTCAATGAAGGTTCTACACAAATGAACAGATTCAGAAGCATTTACTTTGGACTGCTCCATTCCTGAGGAAGTGAATGAGGTTAGGGTGTAATTTTAACTGCCATCTACAACTCAAAAATATTAACTTTAGGATATATAGTTGTACGGCTAGGGAAAAGGGGAGATGTATCTTTGGACAAGCAAGATGAGAACGTTCCATTTAACGTACAGGATAAGTATGCACTTTCCACAGTGATTAAATGTCATAAGCAAATAATAATTATATTTGCTTCAAGAAAAAAAAAACACAGAAGGGCTCATTTTACTGCAAGGATGCCAGAGGGAGTTGAATTTCAGAAGACACAGATTGAATTTCATACCACAAATCCTCTGGAGCAGAAAGAGTGATACTAAAAGTTTGTTCCCTAACTGTTTGAAGTTGCTGTTGTCGTACTTTATAGGTGACTTTCTTGAAGTGTTTTTGTGTACATGCATGTCTGTGCACCAATGTCTTTGAGTCAATTTTTGACTCCTGGACAATTCCATGCCGTATTTTATTTTGGAAGTGGTTTGCCATTGCCTCTTGCTTAGGGCTGTGACAGAATGACTGGCCCCAAATCATTCAGCTGGCTTCATGCCTGAAGCAGAACTCAGATCTCCTGGTTTCTAGCTTGTTGCTTTAACTAAAATATACCAATCTGGATCTCTTACTGAGGATGTTTTAAAACTGTATATATTTTCTTTAGTTGGAGTCACCAAAGAAGTTTCTGTTGAAAAATAACCCATTACTTGAATAAATGTATAAGTAATGTACTCTAGATTAGGAAGCATGTCCCCTTGAAGTGAAATCCCACCAATTCAGTGGGTGCTCATTCCTTACGATGCAACGTCACTAATACAACTATGGCTGGATGGAAAGATGAATTGGAACTACAGAGCTAAAAGCAGAACAGAGAGACAATTTATTCCATCCATTTATTACAACTACTGACACATAAGAATTTCCATATCAAATTTCTCCTGTCTCCACCCTAATTCCTGAGGGAACAAATAACCCAAACTGGGATTAAGACAGCAAACCTCCCCTCCCTTTTTACTCTAAAACTGAGAGCACCAAGAAAAACCCCTTGCCTAGGCACCGTTTTCTTCACTTTCTCTTGGATTAGAGACTAAGCCTGCTTCAGCACCAGAAGAGAGCATTCCCTATTTTCCTGGACATAAGGATGAACAGAAATTGATGCCCCTTTCCCCTTCCAAGGAATCAGAGGGCACTTAGAGAAAGATGCTCTCAAAAGGCATCCCAGAAAGATTATAAGCTTTCTCTTTTGTCCTGGAAATTAAAAACAAAATGCAGAGAAAACCTGATATAATGCATGTCAAGGACAATAAACTGCACCATATCTCCTCTTGAACACAAACTAAACAAGAAGTCCTCCAACCTAGCACTATTGTCCGTAGTTACCATTTTAGGAAAGGCAGGCTAACACTTGCAACCCTAAGAAACTTTTTAAGGAAGCCAAGACTAGAAGTTAGGGGTTCCCTCTCCCATCTGGGGAACCCTAGTTTCTGAAAAAACCATGAAAGCAAGCTGAATCCTGCCCCCACGCCCAAAATGATTCTGAGGTTTGGGTAGGCTGATGCACATTTGGGAACTTCTGGCTTCCATGCCACAGATTTGAGGGAGAAACATCCTCCCGTCTCAGGCCACAGCCTCTCATCTTTAAGAGGACTGTCAAGACATGCGGGGAAGTCAGTCTTGTGGCCTGCCCATCTCTCCTAGGCTATTCAATGTGAATAGCAATAGCTCTTAGACTTATACGGATAGTCCTTGATTTACAAGTTCATTTAGTGACCATTCAGTTACAACCGCACTGAAAAAAGTGACTTAAGACCATTTTTTACACTTATAATCATTGTGGCATCCCCGTGATGATGATGTGATCAAAATTCAGACGCTTGGTTACTAATTCATACTGTTGCAATTTCCCAAGATCCTGTGATCATGTTCAGTACACTTTTGACAAGCAAAATCAGTGGGGAAGCTGGATTCACTTAACAATCACGTTACCAACTTATTAACTGCAGTGATTCACTGAGCAATGGTGGCAAGGAAGGTCGTAAAATGGGGCAATGTTCACTTAACAACAGAAATGTCAGGCACAATTGTATACAGCCCTCCCTAACCGGTTTACAGAGTCAGCTTATTGGAACAGCCTCCCCCCCCCCCCCCCAATCTGGGACTTCATGCAGACCGAAGCGTCCTCGATCAGCGGCGGCTTTTTGTGCCACAGCACGGGGACTCACCATGCCGTCGGAGCAATTAGAGCGGGGGCTGGAGGCGTCGGAGTCGCCGCTGTAGTGTTCCAGGACCGGGTAGTAGACATCCTCTTGCTCCCGCAGCAGCGCCTGGAGGCTTTCGATGTAGCGGATGGCGTTACGCAGGATCTCCACCTTGGGCAGGCGCTGGTTGGGGTTGGTGGAGGTGCAGCGCTTGAGCGTCTCGAAGGCCTCGTTGACTTTGCTGAGCCGCCGCCGCTCGCGCATGGTGGCCGCCTTGCGGCGGTCGGCGTTGGTGGTCTTCCTCTTGCAGGCCTTGCAGGCCCAAAGCAGGCAGCGGCCCGCTTGGTGGTGCCCGCTGGGCGCCCGGATGTGCTCGTCCTCGTGGCCGTGGTGGTGGTGGCCGTGCTCGTCGGCCTTCAGCAGGCCTCCCACGTGCACCAGCCGCGGGTCCAAGTCTTCGAAGAAGTGCATGTCCGACGTGTTGAAACAAGGGTCGTCGTAGAAATCGCCGCCGGGCGAGAAGGAGCAGAGGGAGCCCTCGGTCAGCTCCATGTGGCCTAGGACGTCCATGGAAGGGCGGTGGCCGCCGGGCTCCCCACCCGGGCAGATGGCGAGGGCTTTCTTAACGCGAAAGGCGGGCTCCGGGGCCAAATGAGCCACGAAGCGCCGCGGGAGGGGGCTTCGGCCTGGCTTCCCGCTTCTTTCTCCCCTCCTTCCCCCCTTCTTCCGCCACTCTGCCTGCCTGGACGCAAACGGCGGACCCTTCCCGATGCCATCCCGCCGGCTCCCCTCGTGGCTCTATTTATCCTGGCGAGGAGGCTGTCCGTTCCTCCGCAGCCACCTCTGCCCCACCTGCCGGCCTATCCCCTCGTGCCTCGCAAAGCCGGTCGACGGGAGGGGCGGCGGCGGCGGGGGTGGGTGGGTTTGTCTTGTCTCCAAGCGGGCGGGAAGGGAGAGGCGAGAGGCCGGGCCGTCGTGATTGGAAGGAGGCCGAAGAGAGACGCCCGTCGGTCGAGAGCCGGAGAAACGTGGCCGTGTTTTGGAGAGAAGGGACGGGTGAGGAGGGGACAAATGTCAAAACGCCTGTCCCAATGGTGGTGGTGTTATCAGCCGGAATGTGGGGTCGAAATCGGCCCAGTACCACCCGTGATTAGAAGGGAGGAGATGCTCTCGGTTTTCATTCGTTTTCAACATGGTGCTTTTTAAAGTCTTTGTCCTTTGCTCTTGGAAAAACTTGTGGAAAAAAGGAATAAATGCAGCAATTGTAATAAGAGCCGGTTTTGGAATCGGGTGACTTTTTTTTTTAAAAAAATCCTCTTTTTCTTCTCCCTCTCCCCCCTCCTTCCATAAGGCAAATCTTCATTTTACCATGTCAAAAACGTTATGCTCTGGGCTCTCGACTGAAAGGTAAAATGATAATAATGTTATATTTGAGATCACATCGAATTTATTTTTATTTTCCCCCCAGGATCGCGAAATCACCGAGGGGTGAATAGTTTAAAATCGAACGCGTTTAGGAGTCGATTTATAGGGTTTTGGAAAAAATGCCAATATCGCTTTTTTTATTATTATTATTATTTGGAAGAGGCTTCTTGGAGGATTTTCCCAACGAAGCCGCTATAATTCTGAAACTGCTTTAATCTGATTTGATTAATCTGATACCCCTATCGCTTTTAATTGATCGATCTATGAAACACGACATCGATCCAGTTGGTAATATTCGATTGCAAGGTTGTTTCCCGAAACGTAGTCATCGATTGCAGCTTTGGGTATTTCCCCCCCCCCCCAACCCTGTTTTAAATTTCGCTGCATACGAGTGACCATCTGTTATCACTGGGGGCCATAATATCCGCTTTAGTGTTTTAGCTTCAACATTTTTATTTTCACGGGTGGAAATGAAAGACGCAGACGCATCTCGCCGGGAAATCCTTAAGGATTTCGTCCTTCCGTCGTTACCTCCTCTTCTGACGGAGAATTTGATTCCGTATTTATTTTTTTCGATTGCAACTATCGTTCCAATAGGACAAAATGAAGCATTCTTCTATTGCTCTCCTCAACCCTTTGGGTAATAAAGAGCCACTTTTTCACTCCAGTCCCTGCAAGATTGCGGTCTATACACCTTGCCTTTCCCTGGGGACAAATTGGACGCAGGATTTTGAAACGGGGGTGGGATTATAAAACCAGAGGGTGGGGTGTCGCTTCTTCTCCGCTAGCCTGGGAGTTTTTCAAGATAGCCCACATTTCGTTGCTTTAGTTTTCGGGATTAATTTACTCTTTACTTGATTTTGAATCGCCGGGATCAGAACCGCGGCTATCCTGAGCTGCGAGTAAATTAAAAGAGTGCTTTAGACCTATAGAAAAAAAGAGTTAGAAGGAGACGTTGAACTCCCAATGTTTGATGGGAAGGATTTGTGGATCGCGGCCCCGTTTAACTTTGAATCCCCCCCCTCGCGGCCCCGTTTAACTTTGAATCCCCCCCCCCCGAAGTCTGATTTGAATAAAGGCGAAAAGTCCTTTGGGTGCTTTATAAAATGGGACGAGAGGGAGGCAGGGGGTTGCTCATGATTGGTAACGTTCACGTGGGATCAGCCAACCTACGAAATTGTTTGCAAGGGTAAGGAGACCCCACTCGACCAGCAAGGGGGCGGGGGGGGGGGAGAAATGCCGAAGGCCACAAAGTGAAAAGCCTGGAGTGGAGTAGCGCTCCTAAGCCAAAGCAAGTCGTTCCGGCCGGAGTAGTAAAACTGAGCAGAGAAGCGATGGCTATCGTCAACCTCCTCTCTGGAGCATCTACTTTGGACGATTGGGAGAATGTGTTCACTTCAATAGAACTTACGTACGTTTATGCCTTTGGTTGCCGTCATTCCTTTGTATCATTTCTTTGTACTCAGCTCCTAAAAACGTCAAGTGATTCATGGCCAGCTTCATTTTGTTGTTAGTTGCAAAGTCATGTCCAACCCATCGCGACCCCATGGACAACGTTCCTCCAAGCCTTCCTGTCCTCTACCATCCTCTGGAGTCCATTTAAGTTCACATCTATTGCTTCAGTGACTCCCACCTCATTCTCTGTCGTCCCCATCTTCTTCTGCCCTCAGTCTTTCCCAGCATTAGGCTCTTCTCTAGTGAGTCCTTCCTTCGCATTAGGTAGCCAAAATATTTGAATTTCATCTTTAGGATCTGGCCTTCTAAAGAGCAGTCAGGGTTGATCTCTAGGACTGACCGGTTCGCAGCCCGAGGGACTTGCAGGATTCTTCTCCAGCACCATTCATACTGCCCAACAAAGTTTGCAAATTTGGTGCCTGATAAAACCTAATCTCTGGTGCCCACCCCTGTTTAGCTGGACCTTTGGGCAATTGAAATGGCATTAAATCTGGGAGAGTATTACCATCTCTTTCCTTTTTGGAAGAAGAGCCCTGAAAGACTTGCCTTGAGCTGATTTGGCTTTCTGAAGGAGCAGGAGATCCTTGTTTTATCCTCCTGGAGAATGAATATTTGATCTCTGAGAGTGCTGCAGCTACCAGAAAGAAGGATCTGTTATTTTAAACAGGGAAAATTGATGCTGGAGGTTTCTTAAGTGTTGACACCAAGTTTAGATGTAGTCAACATTTCTCAGAAATATGGAAATGATGGAAAAATTAAGGGCATGTTTTATTGGTGATTACTTACAAATATCTTCCACTGTGCAGGGCGGGATTAATTCTATATAAATAGATATACTCAACAAGTTTAACCTGAGTTAGAAAGTTACTTTTTTATTCTCCAGCTGCCGGCAGGATTCTAATATATATGGTCCCTTATGTACTGCATTGTATTCCTATACTACGAGTATATATGCTGTATATAGTGGGAGTGATCATATCTTCCAGAAAGTAATTCTGCTATATTCCACTGATCATCCTTGGTGATGTTGGCTGGCGCTTATTAGAATTATAACCCAAAATATGTAGAGATATTTTGTAGACAAGCTTTAACAAACTGTTTTTTCTAAGAATCAATGTCTACATCCATAATAAAATGAGATAAATAGGCAGTGCACTTTTTAAATATACATTACCACAGTGATTTTCAAACTTAGCAACTTTAAGATGTGCATTCTGAGAGTTGAAGTCCATATATCTTAAAGATGGCAAGGTTAGAAAACACCACATTACCTTATAATACTGTCCTAGATATACAGTAATTATTTATTTTATGTAACTGATAAACAGCAACAAACAGCAAGACACGTCGCAATTATGAATAAGTTAATAAGAAGAAATAATTACTCAGTAGTATGTTGCCATAGAGTATTTTACATGGGCATTATGTGAACAAGCATAGCTTTGTCATCATTTAAATCTATTGGAAACATACTTAATAATATTCTATATATAAAACAAGAAAGCTAAGCAAGTTCAGATATGATTAGTATTTGGATGGAGGACTAACTACCTGGAAATCCAAGGGCCAAGGGCTAGATTGGGAAATTAAAAATCATTCTGAAAAATAAGGATGGCAAGTCCCTATTATGCTGCTGCCAAGAAAACGGTCTGGACATACCCATGAAATAATCAGGAACTGAACTTGGAGACTTCATCATTCTGGTCTTTTAACAGAGGTTCAGGATGCATTATATTAAGTGTCCACTAGAGGATGCTCTCTCTATATTGATCTTGAGTGATATTAAATGGAGATTTTTTTTCTGCATTATAATGTTGCTTTTGATCATACTTGGAGTACTAAAATATATAAAAATAGCACTACTTGGTTTCAAGGGTGCCTTGTCTAGTTTCCAAATAATCCAGATCCATGTTGTTATCGCGACTATATTTCTCTTAATACTAATTTTCCTCAGGCTAATTATCTGAAGGGGAAAACCAGAGGTAAACCCCAGATCAAGTAAGACAGCCCTTCTACCACCAGTTTTCTAGTTAGTTGACCATCAAGTGATTCAAGATCTTCTAAGGGTGTTTATTTCTCATCTTTCCATAAAATTAAAGTAAAAAGAACAAAAATTCTGGAGCAGCAAAAAAAGATCTTGCTAGTATATAAAACAGAAGTGCAAACCTATTTCATAAGGTTAAATAATAATGAAATTGTTGAATATTTATATGAATCCCAGGAGCACTTTGCAAGCACCCCGAAGGCTATTCATGCCTTTTTAATGAAAAAAAAACCAGGGCCCGTTTTAGTGAAAAACGGGCTGTTTTGGGGAGGTTTGCAGAGTGCAAAAACTTTTTTTTCCTTTTGGAAAGTTCTTTAATTGATTGATGAGAATTACATTGATCAAGTGCTGTGCCAGCAGAAACAAAGTTAGTGATTTCCTGACTTTGGATAAATACACCTGGAAACATCTACCTACCTACCTACCTACCTACTCTCTCTCCCTACTTACCTACTGCATTTCTCCCTCTCTCCCTTTATCTATCTACCTACCTACCTAATTACTGTCCCTCCCTCCCTACCTAATGTATTTATCTATCTTTCTATCCTCTCTATCCCTCTATCTACCTACCAACTTTTTAAAAAAATGGCTCTTGGTGCGTCTTATACTCCAAAAATATGGTATCTACCTTGCTGTTAGTCATCCG